CCCCCCCCCCCCCCCCCCCCCCCCCCCCCAAGTTTCTTCCAGGGCAAGAGGAGGGACTTATACTGGCAAGGGTCGGAGGTTAAGGGATGGGACTTACAGTCCCAAGGTGGTGACCAGGGGGCAGGGCACCTGTGCACCTCCCTCCCCTCTCTTCCCCCCCACCCCCAGTTGATGGAGAGACCCTGGTGGCCCTGCTGCTTGTTACTGATTAACTGGGAGGCAAAATCCACAGCTTTAAATATGCAGTTTTTGCCTCCTGGCCAATCAGTAGCAAGCACCAGGGCCCCTTTGCCAGCGAGGGGTAGAGGGGTGTGTGGCGAAACTGACCAGATTAAAGGAACCACTGCACGCCACACTTTTGCCACAAATTTGGTACATTTTATCCAACCTAAAATGCAGGCTGGACAGGGACATTTTATAGTTAAAATGTTATAGTTAAATAGCTATTGAGATTTCTGTTACTCTTCATACAATAGCATGGATGGATACGGTTCAAATGTAAATGTAAGATATAATTATTAAAAATCCTCAGTGCAGAAACATATTGTGTAAACCAGCAATTAAAAAAAACAATTAACTCTATTTTGCTTGCTATAGACACTAAATATGTGCCTCCCCCAGAATAAAAAAAAAATCTGGATGTATCATGAGGACGTTTCTGAGGAATCTGGCGTGATTTCTTGACAAAAGTCCTATGATGACATTTGTTGCCAGTTTATAGGCAGTTTGATATAAAGATAGGTGTTTGAGGGTGGTGAGGGGGGACAACCCACATCATCAAAGCCCAGTCACTCACTACTTCTTCATCAAATGAATTAAAAGCAAATATGTTAAAATTTGTCATTCTTAATCCATTTTGCCGTTCTTACATACACCAGCTTAAAACAGTTTTAATCTTAGAACTGGGCTATTGAATTTATCATGTGGACTCCTCATTTTAATAAAAGAAACTACTTAAAATCCTAACAAAATTAAACCTATTTAAAATATGAAAGTTTAATTTTTCTGTAAGTTCTAATTTCCCAAATAAGCTATTTCTCTCGCATAGCATGCATTTTGACTTGTTTCAATATAAATATGCCTGTCCCATTTTTCCAGGCATGTTTTTAAAGGAACATTCTTACAGATGTCTATATTTTTGGGTGTCTCGCATGAAAACAGCTTATTCTTTATGCTTCAAATATTTTTTAGATGTTTAAATCTGCCTAATATGTTTAAATCTCATAAGCCACTTTTTGTAAGGTATTAAGATTTGAAATATCTACTTAATTTCACGTCTACAATGTTAAGTCATGACCCTGTTTTTCATTTTTACGTAACAAAGCTCTCTCTAGTAAAATTTATAAGCAAGTAAAATTTATAAGCAAGCTCTCTTTTGCTTAAATTTTATAACACAGATCTCTTTTGGCTCTTTGTCTTGCTTATAAATTTTGGTAAAATTTCATGTAGGGAAACTGTGTGCATGGGCTTGAAGAATCATACTTTGAAAAAAGAGCATAATTCTGCAAAAACCATGGTCTAGCACAGAGGATGCAATATTCCAAATATCCTATTATCTGTCATTAACAGTGCCATTCCTCTTGCCTAGAGTAAGCCAAATCATTTCTGATTTGCTCCTTAAACCCAATTTTTAACTTGCTTTTGAGATCTTCAAGGGACAGTTAAAGTTATAAGCTTAGCAGACAAAGCCATGCAGTTTATTCAAGCTCACTAACACTTAGTTTGTGAATGTGTATAGTAATAGTACCCTCATGTTTACAGAGGGGGAAGTAGAGTTGAGGGTTAAGGATCTTGCAGATGTTCATTGTTAATTTTGGACAAGGGTTTTGGATTAGAATTGGGAAGTCCTAGTTAGGTTGTTGGGACATTGCCTGCTTCCTTGCTCTTTCATCTCAAATATATTTATGTAAACTCTACTTAAAAAGCCTTTGTAGTTATGAGGTGGTTACAGTTCTGTAATCTCCATAATTAATTACATTAATCAGATTAATCTAGTTTTTCTTTTTGTTGTGGTTAAACAAAAGAACTCTTAAAACAATTACATATTTTCTTTGTTTTAGGTAGTAAGTTTGTTACAGCAAGTGGAAGAATTTAAAGAGAACCTGATCAATAAGAATGATGAAATCTTGCAGCTGACCTTGGAGTTAGAGATGCAAAAAAATCTTAGCACCGCGAGCATCAGCCAGCTTCAGTTAGAGAATGCTCACTTGAAGGTATACATAACTTTAACTTAAGGTACATTGACTGGTTTTCTCAGAGACACACATCTTTGTAGGGTTCAGTGTTTTATCATCTTTATTTTATAATTTTTGTAACTATTTTGTGAGTTTAATTAAATGTTAACATACTTAAACTACAGCATACGATTTTTATATACAATTTATACATAGTTTGTGTGTGTATGTAACACACACGCCAGAATATTGTTGGCTTGACAAAAACATCAAAAATGGATAGTTTTGCCACCATAATAGAGTATAATCCATATTGTTGGTTTTCCAATCAGGAGGACATAGCAAAACTCAGCATGAAGCAAAGTCAGATCGTGGATTACAGTGAATCATCAGTTTTGCAGTTTCCACAGGCCTTGCTTGAAGAGAAGAATCAAGAAATTGATCATTTGAATGAGCAAGTTATGAGACTCCAGCATGAGCTGGAAAATGCGACAGACAATAAGGTGAGAACACTTATCTAATATTGGTTGTTTGATATATGAAAAGTGGTTTTGGCAGAATGTAATATTCTGATACAAGAAATAGAATAGGTTTTGATGTTTTGCCTGAAGAAAATAGATTGGTCAGTGAATAGTAGTACTGTTGTTTTAAGATTAAGTTTCCCATACCAAGTCATGCTCTTGGTATTTTTCATTTGGTGGAATTTTTTTAGAGAGTAACTAGTGTTTCAGAGGAAGCCTAAAATAGCCTAACCTGTTGTACAGTCCTGTACCCAGGAGGGGAAGAACTCAGATCTGGTCCCTACATGGGTAAACCTGCACTCTGAAATATAAGATTTAATTACTCTTATTACCGTTATCTTAGTTTGCATAACTGCAGATGTTAGTCACCATAAATTATCATATGTTAAAAGCTGAAAACAGGAAAAACACCAAGGCAGCAGAGTCTTTAATTCTATGGTCTGTAGCAGTCAACAGTATTGCTGCATGATTTATAAATGGGGTAAAATATTTTTATTAATATCTAATTTGCTGTTTTAATCCTCTGTTTTCTTGTGATATACTCTCAAATGGGATTAAAACACAGGGGTTGGTCCTTCAGTCCCCAGAATTCAACATGCATTGAAGATACAAGTATATATATGTATATTTGCATTTAACCTTTGTTACATATGATGAACACATTTCATGGCACTAGTGCATAATTAATCAGAAAATGTTATGAATATGTACTAAATCTAAAGCAAATGTAGCTGCTTGAAGTTCCCCTCTTTCTGCAGCCAGGATGGGAAAGAAATAGACTTTTAAAGTGAGAACATACAGCAGTAAAGATGTTCTCAAATTTTGTTATTGGGAAGACAGGTGAAGGGGTGCTTCATCTCCAGATCCAAGGGAGGAAGTAGCTTTACTGGTTTTCATGCCAGCATACTAGCCCTGGACTGTACCTAGGTTTGGAGCATCCCTTATTTGTTTCTTGTTATAACAGAATTTGTTTTCTGGCACGATAACTTTTTCAAGTCTTGCCTTCAGTAAGCCACATCAAGCCTCATTGGTTAGCTGGCTGTTTCAAATATGTGATCTATCTAATTTAATTTCAAATAAAATATTTTAGTAAGTGAACCTAAGAATGGTCAGAATGCTGATGCTTGAAAGGAAGTAGTTATATCTAGACATTTCTGTTTTTGTTCTTTCACTCAGGTTGTGGAAGATCGAAAATCTGAAATTAAGGAACTTGAGTCACTTATTGAGCATCTTCGTGGTGATCAGGAAAGGTTGCGTAAAGATAAAGAAGAAGAGATAGATCAACTTCATGGAGTAATTGAGAAGCTTCAGAAAGAGTTGGCACAGCTTGGTCCTGTATGTCATGAAATTAGTGACAGCCAGGATGACCTTAATGATCTTGGATTGGAAGACCAGGGGGAGAATCTTCAGAATGAATTGAAGAAAGGGTCACTAGATATGAAGGAGGATACAGATCTGAATAAGAAAAATGTATTGCTAGATTCCAAAGTGAAAGAGCTTCAGGAGGAACTAGAACTTGTCTCAACTGCTAGAGAAGCTCTGCAGCAGCTACTTGAAGAGAAGGAATCTCAATTTAAAATGGAGGTGGAAATTTTGGAACAAAATATTCAAAATGTACAGGAGTCTTCAAGGCAGCACTTCAAAGAGCTAACCTCTTTAAGAATACAGTACGAAGCATTTCAGGAGGAGTATAACCTTATAAGAACACACTTATCTCAGAGAGATGTTGAGGTGAGGATGATTTCCTCTCGGATTCAAGAACTTGAAGATACACTGAGAGCAAGAGAAGCAAATCTTCTAGAGAGAGATCTACAAATCAAGACAATGGCAGAGCAGAGAGTAGTGGAAACAACTGAATTGCATCACCTAATGGAAAAGGTTGCGGAGCTTGAAGCTGAGCTGGAAAAAAGAGATGACTATCAAAGCCAGGCTATAGAAGTTCAGTCCCTTCAATCAGAAGTTTCCAGGCTTGGCTTAACAGTCCAAACACTGAATCAGAAAGTAGTAGTTTACCAGAAAGAAATGGATGAACTTCAACTGAATGATACAAAACTGAAACATCACATCCAGGAGTATTTGCAACAAATTGAAGCCCTACTGTCTGAAAGAGATGAACTTTATACACAGCTAGAATCCTATAAGGAGAAAGAGCAAAGTAATAATCAGGAAGCTAAACTTCCTAAGCTGGTCTCGGAACAAGAAAGAGAAGTTCTTATTCATACAAAAGGAATGGAAAGACTGGAAGAAGATTGGAGAGCAAATGTTGACCAGTCATTTGCAGCCACAGTTTCCCAAAATAATAAATTGGTATGTAGTGTTTTTATGTTTTTAATGTAAAAGTATCAGTCACCATAGTACATTTTGTATTTATTTCTCTGGGGTTATATAAAACAAATGTGTATAGTCTGATCATTTTTACTTACTCTAATCATTGACCAGTATTATATTTACTAGTGTGGTGATGCAGTTCTGAATTTGGCCTGCATCTTAGGCTATTTAGTGTTTTTACTAAGGGCAAAATGTATAGTGGTGATAAATGTCTGCCACGCTTTGCATTTTAAGAAAAGATAAGGCATATATTTTGTTTTATGGTAATCTTGAACGGCCACTTAAAATAAAGCTTAGGTAGCTCACTTCAAAACCTGTGGGGACACTTACTATCAAGGCATTCTGTCAGTTTGTGGAGTCAGTTTATTAGGGGAGGGTAATATGGTCTCATTTATTTATTTATTTATTTATTTTTTAATTTTTTTTAAATGTTTCAACCTGGAAAGCGTTTTTCATCTGGTAGATGAGTCCACTGGGGCATTCTGATGAGTGAGAGGGTGATAGCGTATCATTCAAGTGCCAGGTATACACTAACTGGCTGGTTAAGGCTTTTTTGAGTGGGTGGTGGACTTTTAAGAAGAGTATTGGAAGAATATGTAGCAAACCTTTAGATACTTACACTCTAGAAGAGAGAAATTAGGTATATGAAATGTTAAATGAGATGATCTTTCTGTGGTTTAGGGTATGCACTTAAAGCCCTTTACTAGTGTAAAAGTCCAAGATTTCTGATATTCACTATAACTCCTACGTGTAGGTTTTTAGACAGGAAATTAGCTCTGCTAGACCAGATACCAAGTATGTTATTTAGACAGAACTTTACATTTTACAGTGCCCAATTTAGGGCCAAATAAGTGAGCTTTAATTTTAGTACTACTGATTTAACAACAGGCTTGCACAGTTGTCATGGTGTCACAGAGTACTGTGGTGACTTCATATTACTTGATGTTTCACTTCACAGCACAGGCATCATAATTGTATGCAGGTCACTAATGCTTGAGAGACTTTTCCATAGTAGCACTTAATTCTTGCTAGTTGGGCTTTTGTAGCTTATCAGTGAGGCTACAGTAGCATGTTTATCTAATAGTTTCTTTAGTTAGAGTGCACTTATGTGGCATTTGTTTTCTTCAGGTATATGGAGGGCATGACTAATGCCCATACACTAGGAAATCACTTAAATGCTGTTTATCTGTAATCCTCTAGCTGGTACAGTGAGTCAGTACTGCCTTAAGGATTACGAAAAGTGTTAATCCTAAAGCTAAATAAATGCATGTATTGCTTGTGTTGTAATAATGCTAAGGTGCCCCTAATGAAATCAAGACCCCCATTGTGGCAGTCACTATTATAAATAGCATGAGAACCCCCATCTCAAAAAGCTTTTATGGTATAAATAAGTGAGAAAGAGAGTAGGAGGGAAATTGTCAGTATAGGGAAAATAAGTGACTTAATCAGGGTCACGGGGTAGTTTAGTGTTGGAGCCCAAGGTGAAACTCATGACTACTAGTTTAGTGCTCTAACTAAGCTATACAACTATCAAAACAGCATATTTTGTCATTTAAATTGCTATGTTTTTTAAAACATTGATGATGATGATTTATATAAGGCTTTAGTTGCTGGGTATGCTTCTTTTGTCTCCCCAGACCTTTCTTGTACTGACTCATAATAAATAGCAAACGTTGTCACCTACCTTCTGTTTGTGTCAGTATTAAGGAGGGCAGTACTGGTAGCACTGGCCTGAAGTAGGAATGTAATTATTTAATTTTAAATTACTTTTATTTCCTTTTGTTAGAAGCATAAATTGCAGAAAGTACAATATTAACACTATCATCTTGATTTGTAAGTGGTACCTAGGTGGTTATACAGAAGGTTGCATAGTAAAGTCCTCCACTGATATGTGAAGTGCATCTGCACTCACTTTGTAAATATAAGCAATTGACCCAGTAAATTGAAATGTAGTTGTGTTTTGAAATGTCCTAAGTTTCCAATACCTTTATATAAACATTGTTCTCTATGGTCCATTTATTTAATGGTGGTTGTAGTTGAAACTTGGAGAGGAATGCCAAAGAAGCCTGAAAGTAAAGGCTTCTAGTGTGGTACCTGCTTATGTCAAAAACCTAACAAAAATCTTTTTCCTTGTCTTGCTCTTTTAAGATCTTAATAGAGGAACAGTTAGACATGGCAAACCCTTTACAGAATGAAGATGATCTAATTGCAAAAATGACATCTCATCAAGAAGAACTTAAATCTGAATTACCCTGGGTAACAGAGGACTTGGAAGTTAGTGAAGAGAGACCTGGTAGCACTCTGGAGGATGTAAAGGTATGCTGGAATATTAACGAGGTGAAGGGGGCTGTTAATTTCATAGACTCATAGAAAGTTAGAGTTGGAAGGGACCTCAGGAGGCCATCTAGTCCACCTCCTGCTCAAAGCATGACCACCCGTTCTTCTTTGTCACTCTTCACCAGTTTACTAAAGTTGTTTCAAGACCATTTTTGGGTATGTCTACATAGGCACAAAGCAGTGACCTTCAGAGATGCTCTACAGCTTTGCAGGGATTAGTGAGAAACTGCATTAGTGAGAAGTAGAACCCATTAGCCCTCCCAGGGTGACATAATATAGAGGCTATGTTGCTTCTCGTTCTGAAGTCACTACCTATAGAGCTAGTTTAGGCTATCTCTGCACAGTGTGTTTTGGGCTGTACAGACATATCCTCACACATTAAAAGACTTTGTGTAAAAACAAGATCCAGAAGTCATAGCATTGTGATCTTTAACCAAAAAGTCTCATTTCTAAAGGTTGAAGCAGTGCTGGTATAGATGTATACAAATAGCCTGTGCTCTTCAAGTTACCTGCAATTTGATCCCTTAGTGTATTATTTTATAGATCTTCTAGCACTTTGTATGTTATAGCAGTAGTTTTAAAAGTTACAGTTGCAAATAACGCCTAAAAAGACAATAGGCCAAATTCAGTTTTACATTAGAAGCTTTGGTTTGCAAGGAATCCCCCCATAGGTTACTGCCAGAAGACTTAATTTGCCAGTGTTTTGAAATGTACGTCTAGGGTGCGATATAGCAGTAGAAGTTTCAGACATAACTTACTACTGTGCATGACTTCCCTGTGCCACTGCAGGGTTGAAATTCGGGGCAAGGCTGGTGGCTTCTCTGAAATGTGCATCTATTATCGTTCCTCCCAGAGCGTGGATGCAAGTACCACAACAGCCAATGTGTGTGACCTAGAGACCGGATTGGTAGTTTTGGAGTAGTCTGTAGAATTTTTCAAAGAAGCCTTTTTCTGCACTGCTTGCTGTGCTCTTGGGTCTGGATTTGAGCTTCAGGCAACAGTGTTATTTTGCGTTAATTTGGAACATTATCTTCAGAACTACAGGGGATTAATATTTTTAAAATGAAACTAATAAAACTTCTGCAAAAATGAAGGAGTAAACTTATTTAAGTGGAGATGTATCCCAGTTATACTAGCTGCTATGTGTTTTGTTATCTTTTTAGAAACCTGGTCTTACAGTTCATTTGTCTTGGTCTTCATTTAAATTGGCATGTGAACAATCAGTATATTTCTAAGTGAAAATTAATAAAAAATGGTATCTTGTCTTAAAAGAACCTTCTTAAAGCTTATTATGTGTGTGTGAACTTCTATGTTAAATGCAGGTACTAGAAAAATGACATGTGCATTGTGTGTTATTTCATTGCAGGAGAAAGATGCTGAATTGCCAGTTCTCAGCAGAAATCTGAAAACTCAAGTCAAACAATTGCAAGAGACACTCTTGATTCAGGAAGAAGAGATGACAAATAAGGCAGAAGAGCTTCAAGGTCTGAAAAAGCATTGTCAGCAAATATTGGGATTTCATCAAACACCAAACCCTCTGAAATGCAATTATTCAAAAAAACAAGAGCATATTAAGGAGATGCCCAAAAATTTTAAAGATTTAATCACGGATGTGACTTTGTGGGACTCACCTGAGATTGTGAGAAAGGAGGATACTAGCACAGACCTTCAACTAACTCTTCACTTAACACCCTTCTCTGAAGTTGATAGTATACACAGTGTGGACTTAGAAACAATGCACACCAAATCATCCGCTGTACAGGGAGATACCTCTGGACTGTTGGGATATCCCAAGCTATCTGCATACAGCAATGAGGAAACAACAGACAAACTAGATTTAAAGTCTCCATGTTTCTCTGAAAGCACTTATTCCATTGCTGAGTACCAGGATATGGAAAAGAGGATTTTGGTAACTACCAGTTACATGTTTTTAATATATTAAAATGCCCTATCCCTCCTTTTCCCCTCCCAAAATTATGGCTGGGAGTGCTCTGTGTGTTTCCATGGGAACTTATATTGGTAAAAATACATCAAAAAGATTAGATACTGTGTCATACTAGGTGTGCAGTCATCTTTTATTAGTTCATCTCCTGGTTGCACAGTGAAGCAAAACTGCTGCATTGAAAGATCCTTTTACTATACTATATGTAAGTGAAATTAGGCTTCTTAAGACTACACCAAATAAACTTCATTCTAGAGCTTTGCCCCCTACATGACGGTAGGGTATGGGATTAATTTTGGAACATTAGACCCTAACTAGGTCCAACAAAGCAACAGAGAAAGGGAAATTACCCTTTTTTATACATGGAAAACTGAGGCACAGATTGCTTAAACTGGTGCTTATTGAAAGTAATGGAAAGTGTTCCTGAGACTGACTGAAGTCGTACAGGAAGTTAGAGTGAAGGTGGGAAATCCAGACCTTTTGAGTCCCAGTGTACTGTCATAAATAGAAGACCAGTCTTCTTTAAAATAATCCTCAAGAATCTCTGAATTAAAGACTGAAAAAGCATTTCAATGCCAGTAAAGAATAAATATTAAACTAATTATATAGTAGTACATAATTGTATATTAGAATCAATCTTTTTATCAAGAGGAAAATGTTGTCACTTGAATGTTACTACAGAATTTGCTGAATCTTGCCAAAGCAAAGATTATGTATGTGCAATTTCAAATAGACATTTTATAGGCTCATTCATGAAAGTGTCCTAGTAGTATCCCAACAGACAAGGTTTTTTGGTTTAATTTGATATCTTTTATTAGACTAACTCAAATAGTTGGAAAAATTCTTAGCAAGCTTTTGGGTATAAATACCCATGTCAGAATGAGGAAGCATCTGCAGTTGGTGTGTGCTCTTCCTGGATGGAATGAGGAGTCAAGAAGCCAGAGGCTGGTATGCATGCAAGAAAGCCAGTCACTGAAGATGTAAATTGAGGAGTCAGTGGGAAAGAGAGAGGCTGGGGCAGGATGGGGAGGGAAGGGGAATGAAAGTAGCTAGTAAATAGTGGAGAGGTACCTGGGGAGTCGGATGTCAGGCAGATTATAATGTGTCATCAATTTGACATCTATTTAGTCCATGATTTTTTTTGTATCTGGGAGGTTGATGAAATAAAGTTCATAGCCTTGTCTTTGAAAAGTGTTTTGTAAATTCCTTTTGAGGATGGACTAAAATATAGACATGAACTAAATCATAGACTAAATATAAATATTGGATTGATGACGCATTATAACCTGCCTAACATCCATGCTGCTGCCGGCTTCACATCCGGCTGCTCTGCAGCCCCCACTCCTCTGGCTGCTGAATCTGCTGCCGGCTTCCTTGCATCTGGGGGCAGTGCCTCACACAGGCTGATTTTGCCCTGGGCCCTGCACCCTGCTCAGATCGTCCTTAGACCAACACAGCTACAGCCTACACACCCTAGTAGTATCCCCTGTTGTTACTTGCCCCACACAGGAAGAGTATGTGCAAGGTTTCATGAGAAACTAATTATATCTTAGTTGATGATATTATTGTGTGTGATCAAAAATGTTTCTTCTTAAAATCCCTTACAGCATACCTTTTAAAATACTACTGACTGCACAAAAAGGATATTAGCATTCAACATTTTGTTACATGGAACAAAAAATATCCTTATTCAGTATACTACTTTTTCCATTCTCCCAGGTATCAGAGGTAGCTTGTATGTCAGCTGAGGCCAAGCTTAAAGCTTCAGCCCCAAATGGGAATTTTTAGGACCATTATATGCAAGAGAAAATGGGAGGCATTTCCAAAGGAACTTTTATTTCAGCTACAATATTTGCTCTTGTAAATCTATGACATCTTTTGTACTGATGATTTTTTAAGATAAAAGGTGCCACAGCTCAAAACTAGATTAATGTTAGGAATGACTCCTGAGTCTGGTTCATGTACATATGGTTTTATTTTTTGTTTATTTGCTTTTTTTAAACAGGTGAGAGAAGTCGACAACTTAACTTTAACCCCATCTGATTCACAAGATGATGTGAGATCAACAGTGTCTGGCCTAGAGCGAGCAAGTAATGGATATAGCAGCAGTGAGTTTTATTTTCTATTAATTTATGTTTAACTCACTTCAACTATATGATGATTAACTTAAATATGCAAGACTAACATTATTTCCTTTTGGTTTTTTTGCATTTTTGAGGTGAAGAAAATTAAGTTACTTAAGACACTATTTAGGCCTGAAAAGAAGTTCTATATTTTGTTAGTTAAATTTGCCTTGACTTTTCACATCCCTTCTTTCTTTAGAAAAGAGGTTGTGGTTTGTTAACCAGCTTTCTTTTAACCATGACCCTTTTCCTAGTATAAATGCATATTAACCCCTTTTGTCTTGATTGGGTGGTTAAGAACTGCATTGGGAAATCTCAACCAGTTAAAATTCAGATAAGATATGTTTTCTGTTGAGTAGTTTTCCACATTCATGTTCATGCTTATGGTGTGTTATACTTCCCTAAATTCATCCAGAAACTATTTTGCCTTAGTAGTATGCATCCTGGCCACTCAACCTGCACCCCTCCCATGCCAAGGTTATAATGGAGGGTATGCACTTCCTGCTTCTCTGTTCCTCTCGGCTACCTGGAACCTTTCTGTAGTCAGTTTGCCTTTCAGCCTGCACTCTGCTTGTAGGCTGTGTATAACTTCTTGTTTTCATTGCTGGTTTTATAGTTACATTTTTATATCTTATCTTTAAGTTCTTTTCTTTCTTTTCTCCAAATTTTTTTGGGAGCAAATAGAGAAGACTGGGTTGGGTTTGGTGCCCTGCCTGCTTCCCACTCCATCCACTCTCTACTCCTGTTCTTAATGTAGGTGTGCCACATGATACTGCCATCTTGGTGGCTCATTTTCTTTTGTTCTTTTAGAGATTTTGTCTTATCAGAGTACTTTCTCTTCCTTTTTGTGGTGATGCCATCACAAAAATCTCCCAGGTTTTACAGCTGCGCCTCCTGCAAGAGTATGATTCCTTCATTCTAGAGAGATGTGATATTTATAGGCCCTTCAAATCAAAGAGCAGGAAGGAGAGAGGAACTGTAAGTTGTTCCTCCTAGACAAGGCCACAAGCCTGGCATTAGATTTGGAAACAAGTTTTCAGGCTAGCATTGAGCATGGTCCAGCACCATCACCCTGTACTAGTGAGCTTTGGTTCAACCTTGCCTCTCAAGGTCCCTCTTCGTAGGTAGGTCTCCAATCAGGTATATCTCATGCCTCTGTGGTACAACCTGGAAGAGAAAGGCAACCAAATGTATATGTTCAGCTTCTAAATTAAACCAACTTCCCTTTAGCTTCCCGAGATGATTTGCCCAGTTTCTGCCTCCCTCCAGATTCTACATCCTAGTGGACCTTGTCATCCCCTAGGAGCCCATCTTTACCCTTTTGGATGACCACTTTAAAGGACCAGATACTAATCAGTCACTGATTTCTCCCAGTGCTTCAGGTTCTTGTTCCCCATCTTCTGTGTCAGCACATCAGTACCACATACAGCTTTAGCTGTCTCTACTACTTCTGATTCTGGCTCCTGAGTAGGGCATGCCTACATGTCACCACCATTACCCGTTTCTCTGTTAAGCTGACCAAGGGAAAATTTTAGCCATCCTGAAAGTCAGCTGCATGGTATCAGTCAACTGGAAGGTCAGTGGTCCCAGGAGTATGTCCCCTCCTTTTCTGGCATATCCCTTTTGGCCATGAAGCCCTCACAACCCCAAGCACCAGACCTGTTTATCCACTGTCCCAGTTCTCTGTGTTGTCCTTGCAGCTGGACCCAGTCAGCTGTCCACTTCTAGCACTAGTTATATCCACCTGATTTCAGAGGTGAGCCATACCTACAATTTGGCATGACTCTTCCTCTTCCACATGTGCAGTGTCTTATAAACCACCCTTCCCTCAGGATGCTGATGATTTGTCTTACCTGATGAGGTATGTTGCAAAGGAATTCCAGTTTATATCAGATGAGCTAGTTGAACCATCCATGTATCTGTTGCTAGGCAACTTGAATCATCCTGAGTTGTCTGAAGTTTGCATTACCTATTAATGATGCAGTCTGGGACGCTGACATTGTGGGTCCTGACGATAAGATAATGGGCAGAAAGTACTGAGTCTTTCCATAAAGGACAGAATTATTCTGTTCCTACCTCATTCTGCAAGTTGATTCTTAAAGTGAGAGAACTGTGGAGATAGGGTCTCTTTGGTAAATGGTCTTGCTCCTCTGCAAATTTAGAATAGTAAATGACTGAGCTGTGACTTTAGGATTGTTGAGCAGATCACATCTCTTGTTGAGGATCTTCCCACAGATTGTGCAGATTCCTTCCTCTCTCTTGTGTTAGTCGTGTTAGAGTTGGTGGCTGAGATGGTGCTTTAAGCTGCATTAGACATTACAGAGACAGCTTCTTGGTCTGTGGCCACTTCAGTAGCCATGAGAAGGACACATTGGATCTTGGATTTTGGACTACCCAAAGCAGTCCAGATGATTGTGAAGGACCTCCTGTTTGAGGGACATCTTGTACTCCCTTAAGGATTTTCGAGATATCCTGTGTGTCTTGGGAGCATATACTTAATGCATGCTAGGTGCCTTCACACATGAAAGTAATGTGAAGCAAAAAACTCTGGAGGAGTTCATGCCGGAGTCAACCACTCCCGGGCCCAGAGTTTACATGTGCACCTGGGACAGCAGCAATTTAAGCTGGGGTGCCTGCCTGGCTGGGCTGATCAGATGCAATTAACATGCCTGGTCAGCATCTACTCATGCATTTCAGCACAGTAAAGTGTTCTGCCATAGGATGGTACTGTCCCCAACAGTTCTACCGTATGGTGTTATTGTGCCCTAATACCACTACACGTTTAGACTGTGATGTTTTTACTGTACAGCTATTTAGTCAGCTTCACAGTAAAGTGCATGTATAGATGCATGCACTGTGGTGCCACTGAAATTTTCCATATCGTTGTCCCATGCAAGTATCTTTTTCCTCAATTTCTGGTCAGCCACAACAGTTAGAACCAATGCAAAAGTGTTTAAGGTTTTACCAGCACAAATCCTCAGCATTTCATCATATTGCTGCCCATAACAGGCAGGGCATTTTATAGTAAGATCAAGTATGATGCATACAGCCACCTTCTCCTTCTTATGCTTCTTTTGTCCAGCTTAGGCCTATGTAATGGCAGACTATTGGGTTCTGGACATGAGAGAATGGTGTCCTATCCTGGGCATAAGAGTGATCGATTGGTATATTAGAAAGCTCATGTTCATGGTGGTGACAGTGGCAACAGTTATCCCATCCCTACACCAAGGGGTCTGGCTGACATCTATCAATTTACAGAATGACTGTTTCCACATTTCCATAAGACCTTTGCACAGGTGCTACATATGCTTTCTAGTGAGACAGGTATATTACCAGAACAGATGCCTCCTGTTTGGATTTTGACAGCCTTCAAGGAAACAGGAGATGGCAGTCCTGCCTTACATGGATGATTGGCTAATAAAAGTGGGTCATTCTTCAGATATTGTCAACCCAAGTAAAGAGGTTTGAGTTTATAGGGGTGGCCCCAGAAGGGTCAGCAAGGGCCTGCCTTTCACAGGAATGGGGTGGGAGTACACGCACAGGACCTCCAGACACAGGGTATCTGGACATCAGAAGAGATCTTGCTCCACATCAGTGTGTTGGAATGCATGGCCGTACACAAAATTTGTGGTACCCATAAGTGTCCTATCCAAATTATCTATACTGTGGCTATGTTGTATAGCAATGAATGGAGTAGCACAAGTCCTACCTCTCTCAGTAGGAAAGAAAAGCAGTTTGTCTGCAGCGCTAATGCATCAGTCACTAACTGCAACTTTCTGTGGTGTATTTGCTAGGTTTTCAGAATACTGTGGCAGACTGCTGCAGTAGAGTTGACTCCATACATCACAAGTGGGAGATCAGCAGCCCTGTGCCCTATTCCATCTTTGTGAATTGGGGCTAAGCAGAGAGAAGTCAACAACCAGAGACAGAGTTTTTGTGCCAGGTGTGGCTTCTGTCTAGGCCCCTAGTCTGACATCATCCTATATACCTTACCACCCATGCCTGTGATCCCTCAGCAAGGCGTGGGTCATCCTTCTAGTCACTGCATGACTGAAACAACTTTGGTACCAAGACTTTCTGTTGCAGCCAGCAAAGATTCTGCCTGTTCAAGATGGACCTGTTGAAACACACTTCTTTGTTCTGGATCACCTATTCTTTTGCTTATTTCATCTGATGACTTTCACAGATAGAGCAAAAATGTTCTACCCAGGTCAGAAATAGTCTCATATGCAGCAGAAGGACTTTTGCATTTGGACAGAGTGGTCCTGGAGTTGCTATTTGCCTAGGGGACTCCAAGAGCTGCCTCTATACATGTTTCTCTGCAATTGACAATATTCATGTGGACAATTATTGAAAGGAAAAAAGGTAGTTACTTATTAGTAAGCTGAGTATTGTGCACATGCATCTTGTTCTCCTTCCCCAGTATATCTGCATCCCATTCTCCTCCTTCTCCTCTTCCTTGGTGTTGTACTGTGTTGCATTTTGGAGAGAACTGAGAAGCAGGATTTGCATACTGCCTTTCATACCTGTGGCAAAGTGGAGGCATGAGATGTGGGACGGGAGTGCACTGCAGATACTGCAAAGGTTTAAAAAAAAAGTCTCTGGTCAAAGGTTGGGCACCAGAAGGAGTGAGAAATATGTATTTGGATAATACATCTCATGTTTCTAGTTATTGTTTTAACCTGCATTTATTTTAAGGAAAAGGTAATGATTAGGTTGGGATTAGCTTATAGTAAACTCCAACCTAACTTCTCGTCTAGTATAGACAGTCCTTAATGAAAACAAGTTTGAATCTCCCAAAATGAACTGTTTAAAACTATTTGTAGCAATTTTAAGTTAATGGATTTATATGCACCAGAAAATCTTACTAGCTTTATTGCTTCTAACTTTTTACTTTGGAATCTTACTCTTTCCAAAATCCACTGTTTTTATAGTTGTACAACAAGAAATTGCATGCTTAGGAGATTGTTGGGGATTGGACCAGATGACCATTAAGGTCCCTTCCAAACCTATGATTTTACTCTGTGATGTTCTTCACGATCTGTTTTCAGACTCCAGTTCAGATTTGGCAGCTAAACTAAATCAGGAATTAGAAACAACTGAGCATCTGGATGCAAGTGTCTTGGCTTATCTGCAGTATTGTGGAATGTTTCCAGATGGAATGGACTCGGTGAAAGAAAAAGAAATACTTTCACCGCAACTAAAGGTAAAGTTGATAAAGATAGATAAAGCATTTAGGAGATAAAAGGAAAAAAAAAAGCAACAGTTGAGGAAAGTATCCTTTTCAAAGGGAGTCTATTAATAGAACAGATTGTAGAGATGCAATGATATATTGGTTCAGATTGTATTGCCACCAATAAAAGGAAAATTGACATTATTGGCAATTGGCTTTTTTTGGACTGTGGCTGATTTAAAACACCAATAAATGCTGTGCATGTGTGTGCAGCCTCAGCATGCATGCAGCCTAGCAGCTTGGAGAGCATTTTCTGGCTGGTAAGTCTGTGGGGGGGAAGGGGCGTGGAGGGGAGGGGCAGGGACAGA